ACTTTTAACTTTTCTGGGGGGAGTCACCTGTGACTTTTATTGGGGTTTACTCAATTAGACAAAAGTGATAGCCACAAATCTCAAGTTAAACCCTTCTGTAGCTTTGGCTCCTGCTGAGTTGGCCAAGGCTTACACTTCCACAAATCCCTACTATTTGAGAGGATATGTAAGGCATAACCTTAATCTCTGGAGAGCTTTTGTCTGACTCAATCTTTCTGAGGTCTTAAAGATTTTAGTTCACACTTAGCTTCATCTTTGGGCCACATTTAGTCAGATGTCATTTCTTAATTTCAGCACTCTCTGCTATCCAGAAAGACAGCATTTTCAAAACAAGACCTAGGTCCTTTTTGTTCAACAATCCTTCCTTTAGTTTATCTCTACTTTCACATTTTACTATGAACAGCAAGAAGCACCATACTATAAACACTTTGGGTAGAAATCTCTTCAGCTAGTTTACCCAGTTCATTTGATACATTATCAACTTTCCACATAACTGTAGGTAACAGTGTTGCTAAGCTTTCTGCAACTACGTAAGAGAAATCTTCCCTCCAGTTTCCAGTAACACTTACCTAACTTCCTTGCAAATGTTCATTTGCAGTCTTACCAAATGCCACAAAGCTCCAATTAATCACATCTTAAAGGCACTTCAGGCACTCACCAACACTCTCCTCAAAGCACACAGCTCATTTCAAAACCACTCTCCATATTTTCAGTTTTGTTATGAAGTCTATTAAGTAGTTATTGCTGTGTAACAAATTATCCCAAAACATGGTAGCCTACAACAAACATTTACTATCTCACTCATTCTCTGAGGGTCAGGAATTCAAAAGTGGCTTGGCTGGATGGCTCTAGCTCAGGCCTCTCATGAGATTGTGTTATTGTCAGTCAACACTGCAGTCATCCCAAAGTTCAACTGGGACTGCAGAATCTGCTCCTAAGTTTAATTCACATGGCTGTGGCAAGTTTCGTGCTTACTAGGTTTTGGCTGGATGCCCCTGTTCCTCACCATGTGGGACTTTCCATAGGCTACCAGAATGTTCTCCTGGTATCCCTCAGAGTAAGTTATGAGAGAAAGAGAAAGGGGGAGGGGGGCGGGGGGGAACACCTTAAGAGAAATGCCGCAGTCTTTCATAAAAAAATCTCAGGAATGAGACATACCATCATTTTTGCTATTGGTCACACAGACCGACTCCGGCACAATCTGGGAGGGTACTATGGTTTGGATATGGTTTGTTTGGCCCCACCAAGTCTGATGTTGAAATTCGATCCCCAGTATTCAAGGTGAGGCCTGGTGTGAGGTGTCTGGATCATGGGAATGGATGTCCCACGAGTGGCTTGTTTGTTCTCACTCTTAGAGAGAACTGGTTGCTGGAAAAAGCCTGGCACCTCCTCCTCTCTCTCTTGCTTTGTTCTCTCACCATATAGTAGCCTCCCATTCCCCTTCTGCCATGAGTGGAAGCAATCTGAGGCCCTTCCTAGATGCAGATGGCGGCCCCATGCATCTTTTAACTCCTGTAGAGCCACGAACAAAATAAACTTCTTTTTTTTATAAGTCACCCAGCCCCAGGTATTCCTTTGTAGCAACACTACACAGACTAAGACAGAAGGCAAGACACAAAGGTGTGAATACCAGGAGGGAAGAATCATAGGAGGTCATCTTGGAGGCTGGCTATTACAAAAGGTATGGTCCAAATATTTAGCAAACTAAAACGTGGCATGATTTCAATTTCCTGATGTAGTACAAGGAAAACAGAGACTTCACTTAAACATTTTTCTTCTGTTGGCACAGTAATTGTAACAACTGAACCTCACAGAACAAAATGTGATTGTGGTACACGACCTGACTTTATACTGAACGATATTTGCTCTGTCATAATAATGTTATAAGGCCGGGCGCAATGGCTCATGCTTATAGTCCCAGCACTGAGGGAGGCTAAGGCAAGAGGATTGCCCGAGCTCAGGAATTCAAGACCAGCCTGAGCAATATGGTGAAAACCTGTCACTATAAAAATTATAAAAATTAAAAAAAAAATTATAAAAATTAGATAAGCATGGTGGCACACACCTATAGTCCCAGCTCCTCTGGGGGCTGAGGAGGGAGGACTGCTTGAGCCCAGGTGATCGAGGCTGTGTGATCACACCATTGCACTCCACCCTGGGTGGCAGAGTGAGACTCTGTCTCAAAAAATAATAATGCTATAAGTGATGATTATTAAATTCCAGCTTTGAGAATTATTTTATACATTATATAAGGGAGCTTAATTATGACTACTGAAGAGAACATAAATATTATCACCTTTGACAAATGTTAAAATATAAGTACAGATTTCAAATGTTAAGTGGTGAAAAGAGCTGAAGAGGTAGGAGGAAGATAAAAATGCTATTAGAATCATTTTACGAAGACAAATGATATTGTCCATAGTTACAGAACAAGAAATAGAGTCAACAGAAGGACTAAAAGTATTATGTAATAATACACAGAAACAGGGTAAACAAGCTAAATCCTTACTCACCAGAGCAATGAGTCAATAGGTATGTAAAAGTTGTTAAATCAAGAAATGATGGGCCAGGCGCAGTGGCTCATGCCTGTAATCCCAGCACTTTGAGAGGCCAAAGTGGGTGGATCACTTGAGGTCAGGAGTTTGAGACCAGCCTGCTCAACATGGCATAACCCCACATCTACTAAAAATACAAAAAAATAGCTGGGTGTGGTGGTGGGCGCCTGTAATACCAGCTACTCGGGAGGCTGAGGCAGGAGAATCACTTGAACCCAGGAGGCAGAGGTTGCAGTGAGCCAAGACCACACCACTGCACTCCAGCCTGGGCAACAACAGAAAACTCTATCTCAAAAGAAAAAATGGTATAAATTTATTAAACATACAGAAATAAATACCCGAAAAACAAAACATAGTTATATCTAGAAGCAAAACTGGGTGGTGGGAAGGAGCAAGAAACTTGTTTTTATTGTACATTCTTCGATACTACCTTTGTTTTGTGTTTTGTTTTTATTTTACTTTGCCATGCCTCTTTAAAAAAGAATTTTAGAACTATAAAACTTTAAAAGTTTTCTGCCAGGCACAGTGTCTCACACCCGTAATCCCAGCACTTTGGGAGGCTGAGGTAGGCAGGTTGCTTAACCCCAGGAGTCCAAGACCAGCCTAGGAAATGTGGTGAAACTCCATTTCTACAAAAAATAGAAAAATTAGCCAGGCATGGTGGTGTGTACCTATAGTCCGAGTTAATTGGGAAGCCAAAGTAGGAGAATCACCTGAGCCCAGGGAGTCAAGGCTACAGTGAGTAAAATCATGCCACTGTACTCCAGCCTGGGTGACAGAGTGATACTCTGTCTCAAAAAATAATAATAATAATTTTAAAGTTATTCCAATGTATAAAGGACAATAATGTTACAATTATTTAAAACATGAGACAACATGCATCAAAAGTCACAAAAATTACAGCAGGGACTTCTTAGGCAAAAAATAAAAATAAAAAAAGTCACAAAAATATGCAGACCCCTTAACTAATTCTCCTCTCAGCAATGTCTAAATAATGATATTAACTACGGTGTAATTTATAACAGCCAGAGGCCAAAAGTAATATACCAGTAAAAGACTGGTTACTAAATCAGTTCATATAAAAACTGGAATACTATGTACATATTAAAATTAGTAATGTAGATCTTTTTATTGATATGAAAAGACAATCATAATATGCTGTTATATAAAAAATAAAGAAAAATATATATATATATATACTGTTATATAAAACCAGGTTACAAAACCCATACATAGCAAGATTCCATTTTTGAGGTTTCTATATAGAGATGGGTAAAAAGGCATACACATATTCATAAGCACAAAAATACACCACAGACACACTCATACAGAGTCTAGAATAATATGCCAAAATATTATACTACCTAGGAGATGGTATTACTGTTGAATTTCTATTTACTTTTTAAGTATTTTTCTGTAGCATCTGAGTTATTTGCATATACTACTTTCATAATCTGAAAAAGATTGTCTAGTTTGAAAAATAAATGTGCATATACATTGACTCTGCAATTCCATATGCAGAAATTGGTTGCAAAGAATAATAGGATAAAATGTTGTGGCTGGGCACAGTGGCTCATGCCTATAATCCCAGCACTTTGGGAGGCCGAGGCGGGTGGGTCACTTTAGGTCAGGAGTTCGAGATCAGCCTGGCCAACATGATGAAACCTCATCTCTACTAAATATATAAAAATTAGCTGGGTGTGGTGGCAGGCACCTGTAATCTCAACTACTCAGGAGGCTGAGGCAGGAGAATCACTTGAACCTAGGAGGTGGAGGTTGCAGTGAGCCAAGATTATGCCACTGTACTCCAGCCTGCATGACACAGTAAGACTCCATTTCAAAAAAAATAAAGTCCTGTCCATATAAGAACACTTATGTTAGAGTTGTAGAAAAACAAAAACATGAATAATATTCTACCCTCCCGGGCAAAATCCAGATAGGGGACTGAAACCACACCAATTATTCTGACACAGAAAATTTAATATAAAAAACTGTTACCTAGGTATTTGAAAACTAATGAGGTTAAAAAAAAGAATACTAAGGTATCAAAAAGAAGTTGCAAGAAGCAAATACTAGAAAACCACACTATTCATACTATAAGCACAGTATCAGGGAAATATAAAAAAGGAGACTTAATTTAAAAAAAAAAAGAATTTTAGAACTATAAGAATAATTGAATATCACCTTTTCTTATGTTCCTACAGGGTGTTTATTTGGTTGGCTGGAAGTCAAGTTGTTTTGTTTCATTGATGGGAAAACTAAATATATTCTGGGTATACAAAACTATACCAAGAACAAGAAGAGACAATTTCCAGTGCTTACTGAACAATATGAATTATCTCGATAAGAGGCTTCTGACTTCATAATGTTGTTATGTTAAAGTTCAGTATATACACAAAATTAATTATCACTTTTTAAAATTATAATTTCAAAAGAATCACTCACCAAACACTATTCCTTTAGCAAATGGAGGAAACAATTCTGAATGTCGGAATAAGTTTTTGTGAATTTGCCATAGTTCTTTGTGTAGTTTCTTAAAATCACTGTATCTCTTCCACACAATTATCTAAAAAGAGAATAAAATTAGACATGTATCTCATAAACCATTTAGGTTCAGATATCTGAACAATGAATAATATTTTCATTAAAGTGTTCAAGACTGTCATGCAAAGGCAAATGCATGTCCTAACCAATATGATTAACTGACTGAAATTAATAATATTTACTTTAAAAATATAAAGCAGATTCCTGCTGACCAGGAGCATAGAAAAAAAATAAAGTAAAAACATATTACATATAAAGCAATAATCCTTCAAACTATTCTGTTTTGGTTTCAAATTTTCATTTTAAACAAGTATGGTTTTATTCATAATGGAAAAAATATTCAATCCAGAAGATTTACACTACATAAAATGTCACTTCACCTCTTAGAAAACCAATTACAATTGGCCTGCAAATGAGTTAGATATCAAAACATATATTCTTTCTCAAAATAATACATTTATAAAGACAAATTAATTAATTTAGGCAATTTTTAAACAAAAGTACATTCTCAGTCTTTGCCTAAAAGGACAAAGACTGAAGAAAAAGTAGCTGTGCAGCAAGCAATTAACATGGACTTTCAAGTCACAAATCTTTTTTCATAAACCATAATTTATACTAGTAATAAGATTTCTGTAGGCAGGCTGAATCCCGACCAGAACATCATTAAAATTAGTATAATTTTAAAAAACAAAATAACAACCACCTAGATGAGACAACACGCAAAAGTGTGTTTTCTTTCATTAGTCTGAATTATTGTTTAACATTACTGAGATTAGATCTAAAAAAATAAATAAATAAACACTTTGTAAAGATTGTAAAGAAAAAGGATTTGAAGCATGGCCTTGATATCAGATTCAGCCCCTCAATCTCCACAAAGCAGGGAAAAGCTGAGTTTTAAATCCCATTACTTGAGATACTGGGGTCTCGACTTCGGAAAAGCTTAATCATCTCAGTTCTAACAAACTTTTCCAAAAGTTTTTCATAAACGACAGGGTGTAATGCTAATGAGCAAATACCAGGTCAAGCAGTTAACCAGGTGTGATTTAAGAGACTCTTGCCAAAAAACCTACTCTCTGCATGTATAAAATTCTTCAGAAAACTTTTTCATACTGCCCAAAATTCTACCTTAATTAATAAATTTATTAACAGTTACAATCTTAGGAGGCGAGATAGACTATAACATGAATTAATTATTAAAAATGTGCTTCCTCGTAACGCTTCCCTTGTATTTATTGACTCAACAACAAAAAGAGTCACCGAAACAAATATTTTTATGGCCCTACTTTGCACTAACCATCATACTGTCACAAAGTATGAAGAGAAGGGAAAAACAGGCCCTGCCTTCAAAGAATTCACATTCTAATTAGGAAGAATAAGCCAACACATTATAAGACAACAACATCATAAGATAGCTTGAAAAATGTTCAAAGGGGCAGCCCAAGGGTGCCACAGAAGTAGTACCTAAATCAGCCTTGTATATCTGAGAAGGCTTCACAAAAAGTACTACCTTAGAGAATCCTGAAGGGAAGTGGTCAGTAGACCCCCAAAAATAAAATAAAAGGGGAGGGAATTGAGGATGACATGTTTAAAAGGAGAGTGAATTGCCAAGTATATATTACTAAATGAAGACAAAATAATTAATTTAGGCAATTTTTAAACAAAAGTACATACTCCGTATTTGCCTAAAATGATAAATAAACTGAATAACACTGAAGAAGAAATAGCTGTGTAGCAAGTTTTGCTACAGATTTTTGGTTTTCAACATATTTATTTAGGAGCTCATGAGGGAGCTGCTTAGAGCTATTTAATGAGATAGACAGCTTTAAGAGCAAGAACTAAGCAGGATCTATTAGCCTGTAGATTAAAAGATCAGTAGCAGATAGGCGGTAATCACTCAGGAAAGGTTTCTCGGCATGTGTAACGAGATATGAGGATTCTAACAACGGAATGATGTGAACAAAAAATTGTTATTTTTATATTTTAAAAATACATCAAATTACAATCATACTACATTGCCAAGGAATTAAGGGAGAAATGGGTGATAGGCTTATGAAAGCACTACTTTATATAAGGTAAATGTCATTATAAACTGAACCTTACATAAGGTTAAGGCCATTATGACCTGGATGTGAAAGTTATTCAAAAGACTGTAGTTCATGGAAATACTTAGATTTGCAAATAAAGTTTTTATTCTAGTTAAGGTCATTTTTAAATAATGTAAGAGAAAAGGAGCAAAATTTAACAATTTAATTATAATAATTATTAAAATACTATGGTATATAAACCAGCAGACAGTCTGTCAGAGCAAAAATTAGAACCCTCAAGGTGAGAATCTGTGTTTCTTCACCATGCCCTAATTTAGTCATTCTCATATTCCTTCTTCTCAACCCTAGGGCTGTAGAACCAAAATACCTAACAGCCATTGCAAAATGTCACATCCACTGCCTTCTTTTCTTCTTACTCCTTCCAAGTTTTGAGGTTTCCAGAAATCTTCAAAATACAAAAGTGAACAAAGGTATACTTCCACTACAACAATAAGCACTGATGTTCATATCTGGACTACACAGTCCTCAAAGACACATACAGAAATTATTTCCTCTAATTAATGTTAGATACTTTCCCATTGGAAAAAAATAGGTCTAAAATACCTATTTCTTTATTGAACCAAATTTGCATACATTTCCTACTTATTTAAGTCACTCTGAAGAAAATGTATCAAGGAAATATAATTCAGTGACAACCATATAAAAAATACAAATTCAATAAAAGTTTTATTTTCATTAAAAACATTCCCTTAAATATTTTTTACATAAATGTTTCCTTTTAGATAATTACACTTAATAACACCAAAAACTTTTTAGATTCCTGTATTTTACAGAATCACCAATTGAATTAACTTTGTCTTTTCACTCTCATATAGCATTAATATTTACAATTTGCTGGATTATCTCTTCTTACAACCATCATCACTACCATACTATTTGCTTATGGATTTTCTTTTCCCTCTTTTCAAGAGCTTTTCCTTTCCCTTGATATATTTCTGAGTATGTACCCATTTTCTAAAACTATTTTTTCCATGATTGTAATCACAGCACTTTGGGAGGCCAAGCTAGGCCGATCACCTGAGGTCGAGAGTTCAATACCACCCTGGCCAACATGGTGAAACCCTGTCTCTATTAAAAATACAAAAATTAGCCGGGCATGGTGGTATAAGCATATAATCCCAGCTACTCAGGAGGGTGAGGCAAGAGAATTGCTTGAGCCCAGGAGGCAGAGGTTGCAGTGAGCCGAGACAGCGCCATGGCAATCCAGCCTGGGTGATAGAGCGAGACTCTATTTCGAAAAATAAATAAAAATAATAGTAATAATAAATAAAATTATTTTTAAAGAAAGGATTTAACAGAGATTTCTGATATAATACATAGAAAGTCCTATTTCAGTCCTTTTCCCTTCCCAAATTTCACCAGTGAAATATCCTACCTGTAGAAACAGGTATAGGTTAATTTGTTTAAAAAAGGGTAAGGGAAAGCAAAACCATCTCTTTCTTCACTTTTCTGCAGTCTACTCATGTTCTACATGATCTACTGAATAAGGGGCCACAGATTTTTTTTCACATTCTTAGGAAGAAAACACTGATATCTGGTGGCATGTGCTAAAGTACACATAAAAGAAAAACAACAAAATTTCTCCCATTGTATAAGGCTAGCATATTACTAGCCCTACATTTGGTTGAACTATCAGTATATCTAGTTTTAAAGAGCCCTTGTGAAGCCTTACTATAGTCTAAAGCAGTAACGAATAAATTAATGGAGAAGGAAAGTGAAAGGAAGTGAAAAACTCTAAGCGGTAAATTCCTCTCCCAAATGAGAATTCCAATGTTTAAATAAACTAAATGGGAAACTTAAAAAAGTACTGTTATAATTTCAAGGTTATTCTATATTTTAAGAAGCCAACTAAATAGAAGACTTTTTTAAAATGTATACCACTTCTAACAAAGGACCATGCAATTGTCTAACTAAAAGACACTTACAAGAGTTTTCTGATGAATGGTTCACCAACAGTTGTTATTATAAAAGAGTTTTCCCGAAAAAAGGATTAAGAAAATGGCAGAGAGTATGTTCATGGATAGGTTGGTTCAGGATTCTTCCTGGAAAATGGGAACATCAGGCTACAAACTACAGCACAGCAATCAGACAATGCATTCAAAGGAAATACACCCATTTCAATTTTAAGAGTTGTAAACTAGAAATCTAAAGAATAGTTCATACTCATCAACTGACACAAGTAAAGATAGAAAAGCACTTCAATCATGGTGCAAATTACTTTCACTAAGGTATATATAAATTTATGGTACATATATATATATATATACACACACACACACACACAACATACCAGTGAAAGTAATATATATATATATATATTTCAAAATAACAATATTTATATACCTTTGAAAAGACTCTATATATATACATATACATATATATATATATACATATACATATACATATATATATATATACACACACATATATATATTCTTTCAAAATAACAATATTATATATTCGTCCTGACTACTGGTGGGGGGAGGGATTGCCTTAAAACCCATCAGGAAAATAGTATTAAATCTTTTTAAAATGTATCTGTTTTTGTTTTTGTTTTGTTTTTGTTTTGTTTGAGACAGAGTCTCACTCTGTCTCCCAGGCTAGACTGCCGTGGTGCAATCTAGGCTCACTGCAACCTCCGCCTCCCAGGTTCAAGCAATTCTCCTGCCTCAGCCTCCTAAGTAGCTGGGATTACAGGTGCCTGCCACCATGCCTGGCTAATTTTTGTATAAAATGTATCTTTTTAAATCATAGGACAAAAACAACTATGAGATCAGACATAGCCAGAAATTATAATGTATAAAATTTAAATACTATCTAAACCTGGGGCGATACACTCAAACCAACCAGTACCAAACAGTCAGCTTAAATGTATGAATCAAGCCAGGTATGTTCTGTAGAGTGGTGGGGCCTGTGGCTAAATAGAAGAACCTACCACCCAAAGACATTCATATTTAATTGTGGGGGGAAAAAAAACAAACACTGTTGCAGCAGAATCAGAACTGTAAACTTAAAGTATCTGTTTTAAACACACATTAGTAAGGGAGAAAAAGACAATCCCAATATATGTCTTTCTAGTCTTAGTGAAAATGAGCAGGGACTAAAATGAAAGTAAATCAAGAAACATTAAAAGCAGCAAGCTCCTCAGTAAGGATTCCTAAAGATATACAATAAGCACAAAGTAAATACAAACAGACAATTTTGCAATTTTAAGCAAAACATAACAGGCTGGTATCATTTTAGAAAGAAGGAAAAAATGCACAGAAGAATCTGCAAAAGAGCCTACTAACTTAAAAAGTTAAAAAAGAAACATCTGTATCTAAAACAGTTTTCCAAGATGTCAACATGTCAATTCAATATAAAAGTGAAAGTAGGTGGAGACCCATTATATATTGTTTGAATCTTTAAAATAAATACTAGTTACCAAATACTTTTTATTACACAGGCATTGTGATCTTGAAATGGGTAAACAGGGGGCCCTTACTGATAGTGAAATCTTGTAAACACTGGTTACCAGACCAGTTATCATTTAGTAAACCACACTATAATTCATTAAATTCTTATTTCTATAACTTAACACCTACTAAAACTTAACACTTACATAGCAGGTCTCGAATAGGACACTTCAGCTACTGTTTTGTGAACTGAAGACAATCTTCACACAAACAGATAAAGACTTGCACAGTGGCTCACACCTATAATACCAGCACTTCGGGAGTCTGAGGCAGGTGGATCACCTGAGGTCAGGAGTTCGAAACCAGCCTAGCCAACGTGGTGAAACCCCGTGTCTACTAAAAATTCAAAAATTAGCTGGGTGTGGTGGCGGATGCCTGTAATCCCTGCTACTCGGGAGGTTGACCAGGAGAATCACTTGAACCCAGGAGACAGAGGTTGCAGTAAGCTGAGATCAAGTCATTGTATTCCAACCTGAGCTACAAGAGTGAAACTCCGTCCCCCCAAAAAAAAAAATTGATGTACAAATGATTCAGGCAATTTCCTCAAAAAAGCATTTAATTAAATTTTTATCAAATACATAAAATAAAGTGTTCATATGGATGTTACCTCCTGGACATCCTCTGGATTTCTTCGTGAAACAACCTAAAACAAAATACATAGAAATCTCTAATCATTATCAAATTTAAGATTTCATATTTGTATAATTCACTTTCAATAGTATTTGTATGAAAAATTCAATTTGCTTAAAAGAAAATAAACACTATATCATTTATCCAAAACTCAGTTATATAATAACCTCACTACCTGAAATTCATACTGTTACATCAAGTTTAACCTAAAGTTACCTCCTTTAGGCTACATATTTTAAGTTTGGCCTAAAAGTTTCTCTGTACATAATAGACAGAGAAATAGATGTATAAATAGATGTATAAACAGACTGTAACCTACTCTGGTGCCAGTCGCCAAGTTTTGACCAAAAGGGGCCAACTGTTCAAATGATGTTCAACTAAGGCAAATGCTCAGCTGGAACTAATACAGCTGTTTGAACAGTTCCTTTTCTGTATATCACTTTCATTTTTCTGTCCATAAATCTTCCACCACATGCCTGTGCTGAAATCTCTCTGGACCTACACTGGCTGAAGAGGCTGACCAATTCGTGAATCATTCTTTGCTCAATTAAACTCTGTTAAATTTAATTTGGCTAAAAATTTTCATTTAACGAGACTAAAAATTAAGCAAAAAAGCAGCTAAAAGTCCACCTGCTAATGTTCATATATTCATTACATTCATAAGAAAAAGCTTCCAGCCTTTACTCTTAACATAATTCTAACAAGCTTGTCTACATCTCCCCTTCCCAGCAAGCCTACCTATAAATTAGAAGCATAAAAAGCAGCTGTGCTTGGGCAACGTGTACAAGGGATCCCTCTACATTATTTCCTACAACTATATATGAATCTACAATTAGTCCAATAAAAATTTCAATTAAAAAAGCAGCCACAATGCTCAGACACACCATGTGAGAAGTATGAGAAGTAATCACTGGCTGCACAATGATGAAGAAAACAAAAGTAATATAAATTATATACAAACATTCAGGGACAAATAATCCTTCTAGCAATACTCGCTAAGGAAAGAGGAAAATCGAGATTCTTTCAGGCTTCTCTGATTACAAAGGCCAAAAAGTCTAACACCAGGTGAAAATATTTTTTTCACAAAACTTTTGAAAAGGCTAAGTGCTTAAATCATCAAACACATCATAAACTAGGAAAGTCTCATATTAGATTATATAATACAGTACCATCCATGTAAATGTCAAATTAACAGATTTGAAGCTACAATGCTGTATTTTGCAAAAACAAACAAAAAGATAAATCAGGCTGTTCTGTCTACGGAATAGTCATTCTTTATTCCTTTACTTTCTTAATAAACTTGCTTTCACTTTAAAAAAAAAAAAAGATAAAAAGATAAACATACATTAAAATAGTTGCCTATGAGTGTGAGGAAGAAAAAGGTCTTTGATAGCCAATGATCATACACTACGAACTAGGGATTATAATCCATTCAGCACCACTCCTAAAGTCTGAAAACAGAACAAAAAATAGAGGATTTTAAAGTCTGACAAACTTTGGTTCAAACTACAGTTCAATTTACAGGTTTGATCTCATCTATAAAATGGAGATAATACTAACTGCCTTGCCTGGCTGTTGTGAACAACAAACAACATAGCAAGAACACTATAATTTAAAAGCTTCTTCTTCCCCTACCAGACAGGTTAACCATTGTAAAAGCTTCCAACTAAGAATTCCAGAGAACAAATATCTTGCACTCTATTCTCCAACTTTCACAATACATGAACTTGGTGAAATCCTGTAGCAATTTTCATTAATTTATACAACACTGCTAACGCAATAGAACTTTCTGTGATGACGGAAAAAATGCTCTCTATGTGCAGTGTTCAACACAGTCACCACTAGCCACATGTGTGTGGCTATTAAGCCACTGAAATATGGCTACTTTGGGAAACTACATTAATTTCATTTCATTTAAATTAATTCAAAAAAAATTTCTTTTCAAGACAGGGTCTTACTGTGTTACCCCAGGCTGGAGTGCCATGGCGTGGACCACAGCTCAGTGCACCCTCAAACTCCTGGGCTCAACTGATCCTCCCACCTCAGCCTCTTGTATAGCTGTGACTAAAGGCACACAATACCACAGTCAGCATATATATAGTTTTATATATATATATATATTTATATATATATATTTATATATATATTTTATATATATATATATTTATATATATATTTGTGGTAGAGATAGGGTCTCTACAACAGGCACACACCACCACAGTCAGCATATATATAGTTACATACATATATATTTATATGTTTATATATATACATATACATATATATATACACATATACATATGTGTATATGTGTGTGTGTGTGTGTGTGTGTGTGTGTGTGTGTGTGTGTATGTATATCTTTTTTTTTGGTAGAGATGGGGTCTCCCTATATTGCTCAGGCTGGTCTCAAACTCCCGGGCTCAAGGAATCCTCCTGCCTCAGCCTCCCACAGTGCTAGGATTATAAGTGTGGGCCACTGCAGGCCTTAATTTAAATTTAAATCAAAATAGCTACAGTGGTTAATGACTACCAAATTAGACAACACAGATTTAGTATCAAAGACGCTGTAACAGGTAACTAACAGCCATATATTATTCAAATATTTGATTTTAGCTATTACTTTCAAGTATCTGCCTGTCCCCTCACACACACCTTTCCAAAAATATAATATTTCACATAGTTTAAAGACTGGTTTTGTTTCTTAAATTTTTATGAAATATATTGAGAAGAAAAGTAATAGATAACCAATCCACTAATAATCCACCCACCAAAAATAACACATGATCACTCACAACAAGGTCTATTCAATTGTAACTTAAATTTTACAATGTATATTTTTCTCAATGTAATAGATTTCCTGAATTTAAATTTTACAATGTATATTTTTCTCAATGTAATAGATTTCCTGAATTTATAAATATATGAAGGTGTCTTAACTATTTTAAATAATCTTCTTTAAAACATGCAAATGGTATCTTTTTGAGAAAGAAGAACTTATTTCTTTTTTCTATCACCCAGGCTGGAATGCAGTGGCATGATCTCGGCTCACTGCAACCCCCACCTCCTTGGCTCAAGTGATTCTCCTGCCTCAGCCTCCTGCATAGCTAGGATTATAAGCATGCGCCACCACGCCCAGCTAATTTTTGTATATTTAGTAGAGACAGGGCTTTACCATGTTGGTCAGGCTGGTCTTGAACTCCTGATCTCATGATCTGCCTGCCTCAGGCTCCCAAAGTGCTGGGATTACAGGCAAGAGCCACTGCGCCCAGCCTAGAAGAATTTATTTCTTAGTGTACATATTAGAAGTATCACATGTACTCGTGGAAATCAAATACATGTGTACTACATAAACAAAAACATATTAGCCATCCCCTCACAACAGCCACAATATTAAAACCATCTTATCAGAAATAACCAATTTGATTACTATTTATCAGTCATCCTCTTAGTGGTCTACATACTTCTATGTGGTGGATTACAACGGTAAGCAAAACAAAGTCCCTTTCTTCCTGGAGCTCACAATCCAGCAGTGCACAATGGTGGGGTGGGAGAGGAGTGCAGAGTTGAGGAGTGTGTATTTCTCTAACATATTTCGATAACTCAGATAACAGTAGTGTGCTAAGCAACAGACTGGTAAACATTTCATCCTAGATCCTTCCCATGATACTGAATCCTCACTCTTCAGAGGAAAGTGACATTCCAAAGCAGTCAACCAGTCATGGTTTAGTGATGTAAGACTTTTAGTGTTTTCATAATAAATTCACTGAATTTTTTGGCATATTGGTTTTCTACTAAACGATATTACAAGTCAAAAACAAAGGAACAGTAGAATAAACTAGTCTAGAAAAGACAGGACACCTTGAGAGCCATTTTTCAAAAATTTTAAGCATAAATATATTTTATAACAAACGAATTGCCCTCCCTATCTCTATGATTATTTTCTTTGTTGAAAATATCTCCAGATTAAGCTAACACTAAGTATTTATTCAAGAAATCTTTAAGGAGCTACTGATTTAACAACTGAAATCTAACAACTCCCACTGCTTTAATACCAGACATTTGTAAAAATCTAACAGGTTAAGGATTTTAAATTTAGTAGGTTCTCTTTTTTCCTTTAAATTGACTTAAATGATTGTTTGAAATGTGTGTGACTATACATTACTTTCAAATAAAAAAGCTAACAAAACTAAAAATTAAAACATGCAGGCCAGGTGCAGTGGCTCACACGTGTAATCCCACCACTTTGGAAGGCTGAGGAGGACAGATCACTGAGTCCAGGAGTTCAAGACCAGCCTGGCCAACATGGCAAAACCCCATCTCTACTAAAAATACAAAAAAATTAGCTGGGCGTAGTGGCACACACCTGTGGTCCCAGCTACTCAGGAAGCTGAGATGGGAGAATCGCTTGAACCCGGGAGGCAGAGGTTGCAGCGAGCTGAGATTGCGCCACTGCACTCCAGCATGGGTGACAGAGCGAGACTCTGTCTCAAGAAAATAAATAAAAATAAATAAAACATGCAGCCTCTTATATACAAAAACTCTACATGAAAATTATACTAGAGGATAAAAGACTGAACGCTTTCCTCCTAATATCAGGAACAAGGCAAGGAAGCCTACTCTCAACACTCCTAATCAAGACTGTAGACTACAAGTCCTAGCCAAGCAATAAAGCAAGAAAAAGAAATAAAAATCATACAGATTGAAAAGAATAAATAAAATTATGCCTTTTGGCAGACAACATGGATTGTCTATGCAAGGAAAAAAAACAAGTATTCTTCCAAAAAGTCTTAGACTAGTCAGTTTGAAAGGTGACAAGTAATAAGGGCAACACAAAAATGAATCTAATTTCTACATACCAGCAAAGAAAAGCTGAAAACCAAAATTTTTTAAAACACTATTGACAATAGCTATGAAAATACATGAAACAGTGAGGAATAAATCTAACAAAACGTATGAACAATCTATTTGCTCAAAACTACAAAATGCTGATGGAAGAGATCAAAGAACATAAAT